CGGAGAGTGTCTGTTAGTTGCCGGGCAGATGGATCAGCTTTTGAACATCATGGTCTACAAATAATAATTTTTGATTAATTTACCAAGTCAACACTTCAAATGTAGTGGAACTACATCCTCATCCTGAGGCATAACCCCTGCGGTTAATTCATAAATTTGATTAGAAAAGTGAATAGAAATTTAAATTTTATAAGAAAATACACTGTAAAAATAATTCAAATTCATAAAACAAACATTTTAATTGTCATGTTGCTAATTAGACTCGATTGATATTATTTAGTTTTACTCTAAAACAATGGTAAAATTTATTAAACTCTCGTTCATTTTATCGATTCGAGTTTAGAATTTAAGTTTTGTTATAGTAAATTTTTTTTATAAATAATCATATATAACTTTTTATTACATTAAAAAACTCTCACATAAAGTCATATATTAATTCAAATTAAAAACTCGAATCAACGAATTAAACAAGTTCTAAGAATATGAGCAGAAAATGAGTATCATTGTTCAATTTTTGTTTTAAGAGCATTTCAATCAATTGGTGAAGTCTCTTGACAATGGACTAGAGATGTGGACTTAGGGTGAAGTTCATAAAAATTATATGGGCTTCGTTTATTTCACCAATTTAAATTTAAAATTTGAGTTTTGTTACAGTAAAAAGTTATCAGAAACAGTCAGATTTAATTTTTTTGTTATAATAAAAAATTCTCACATAAACTTTAAATCGAATTAAAAACTCGAATCAATGAACTAAAATGACCTATAATTTTTGAGACGGGAGGGTTAAATGGCAGAAGAAGAGGGAAAAAGAGTTGATTTCACTAGCAGTTCAAAACTATAACCTCAACATCGCTTGGTCTCTGAACTTCTATTTGTGACACTCATGGTGCTTGATGTTCATTGACAAAAAAAATTGATAATTTTTCCCGAATTTTGATAACCTTTTAACTTTATCTCTGGCGAATTTATGTACCATTTGAACCTTAAAACGTTAGCAGAAAGATCATTCCATCTATTGATCCCCATTTAATGTTGTTATGGCCAAAGACCCTCAAGGTATTAATATAATTTTACGAATGTCGAATATACTTATCCAAAACCAAAGAAATTGGAGACATATAAAGTGAGAATAAAAAACTGTAAGACAAAAGAGCTTCTAGCCGTGAGATCTGACTGACCAATCGTCTCCAAGAAAATTCTCTAAAATTTTAACTAAAATGACTATAAATCTATTTTAGCTAGTAATTTTTGAGTTATTCACTCTAACCATACTCTTTATTTTAATATTTATTAAATTTAAAAAATAAACAATTTTATTAAATTTATAAAAGAGTCTTTACATTTATTATAGTTGAAAGAATAAGATAATACAAAAAAATAAAATGGCTAGCCTCTCCATGCTAGTTATATTTAACTAGTGTGGAAGGCATTATTTAAAATAGTTAATCATTTAGTAAATGGTTGGAATGAAGAAAAGTAAAAAAAAAAAAAAAAAAACGAAGCTAAATTATTAGTCATTTTGACTAAAAACATGAAATAGCTAGTATAGTTGGAGATTGTCTTAGTTAGTATGAAATGCATTCTCTAAAATAGTTAATCATTTAACTAGTGGTTGGAGTGGAGAAAAGCTAAAAAAAAATATGTTTTGACTAAAAGATAAAATAACTAGGGTGGTGGGAGATGTGGACGTTTGGTTTATAGATTCAGAATTATTATCAGTTAACGTGTATTTTTTGTGAGAGAAAATATTGTAGCGAACCACGAATCATGATTTAAATCTACCAATCAAACGCACGGTAAAATCTCCTAACAGTATCCTTTTGATCTATGAATAAGTAGAGTGTTCTCACTTCTTGTGTATTTATAGTTCACAACCAATTGGTATACTTGCTTGTAAATCAGTGTCTTGTTAGAGTTGGCTGCTTCATGCAAAATATATTTTCAGAACACTCTCTCTATATACATCAATGTCTTCTGGTTCTTTACATTTTCTTTAATCAGAGATTATAAGTGAATCCTCAATTCATCTCACTGATTAGAAGCAGTGTTCTTCCTCGGAAAAACATTGCTCTCAAGAAAAAGAGAAAAAAAAAGTTAATGTTCTTTATAGAGATGCAACGTTGTCAGGCCGACGTGGCCCGATGATATTCAAGATCAGGCCCAGCCCACTAACACAGGGTGGGCTGGGCTGGGCTTAATGGGCTAGGCCGGGCTTTCACCAGACCGTGCCAACTTCTGTAGGCCCTAATGGGCCAGTCCTCAACCCCTTTGAACCAAACACATGTGGGTCTCCCAAGGGAGGATTCTCACGTGTTAACACTTGACTATTTTGTGAATTTGTCCTCATAAAAAATTCAGAAATAGTAGAAAATATGTCAATATGAAAAGCTTAAGAAAGTATATAGGTAAATTTTTAGTTATAGAAATTAATAAGTCATAACTTGTTAAGTTATGATTCATAATCAGATAAGTTATAGATAAACTTGTCAAGTTATGATTCATAGACAGACAAGTTATGGACAAAAATTATGATTTATGGGTAATAACTTGTCAAGTTATGATTCATAACCAGACAAGTTATGGACGAAAATAATAATTTAGCCTATTTATTTACTTATATAAACTATTGACTTATTAATTTTAATTCATCTCAAATATTGACATATTTCCCTCTTTCTCCCTAAAAAATTTATATTTCACGCTTGCAACAAATGCGAATACATGGTATGCAAGCTTAGGGAGATGGGAAAGGTAACGGATACAAACATCTTGTAGATTAGTAAAGATTTTGATTCATTCCAGCTTCGAAATGGTAAGAAAATTACGCTGGATCAAATGATGAAGTTAAGGGAGGTGATAAACTCAATTTGAAGTGAAGAAGCCCCACATTTTTCTTGCAGACACACGACTATTGGTTTTGTTGATGTAATATTTATGCGAACACGAAACCAGTGACGAAGCCAAAAAAAGTTTTTCAAGGGGGCTTGAGTTGACTCAAATTTTAAAATTAAAATTTAGTAAAATTGTTTACACTTTTCTTTTAAAACATTATATTTTATTGTAATTTTTCTTTATTTAAGTATTTAAAGTTAAAAAAATGGATACAAGAACAAAAGTGAAGTAATAGTGTAGGGTTAAAAGTAAAAAATAAAGATGTAGATCTTGTTCACTTTGCGGATTCGAATTTTCAATTTGAGTTGAGATGTGACATTTTCTGAGAGCTTTTCACTGTAATAGAAAAAATTAGATGTGACATTTTCTGAGAGTTTTTAACTGTAAAAACTTAGAACTGAAAACTCAAATCGGTGAAATGAACGATGCCATAAATACAATTTTTAAACATTTTTGTATCAAATAAAAAATTTTAAAAAAATGAGGGCGTAATAGTAATAAAAGAAGGGCAAAATTCACCGATTCATAATGGATTATTGGTGTTCAATTTAAAAAAAATGTTTATTTACTAAAATATTTAAAGAAAAACTATTTGACCAGTTGACCGTGGGCCTTAAACCTATAATCAAGAGAAATTTATCTTTAAAATTACATGAGTTTAGACTTTTATTTTTTACTTTTAATAAACACCATTTTATTAGTGTAAATATTTAGCTAAAAGGTTCATAAATTAAGAATAAAAAATAAAAATTATGATTCATGCACTTATAAAAAGTATTTATTAAGATTACTCTATAACCAGATCGGCTCGAATGTCTAGATGAACCGGCCCAAATCCATATGTTGGTCAGACATAAGACCTAAGAGGCAAGTCACAGACCAGCCCGGCCATGTTTATAGGCGTGTTTATTTTTTTCATGTTCAGTCCCAAATTTTATGCCCCAATATTTCCACAAAAGGTAGGCATAATTGGCGAGAATATAGGTTTGCATGGCGTGTGTCAGTTTTTTCCGGGCTGTTTGGAATACTTAGTGGGTGACAATCAGTTAAAGATATATTTTATTCTCTTTATGCTTGACAATTCCAGTTTCAATATATAAAAAAATAAAAGTAAAAATTGCTTCCAATGTCATGTAAAAAAAAAAAAAAACTTTTGTGTTGGGAATTTTGCATACGTCGTTGTTACTATTTTTAATTTCTGTTACACCATGGTCGAGGAATCAACCACTCTATCAAACGACAAGCGCCGAGCATCCCCCGCCAAGGGTCGGTCGCTGGCGTCGAGAGAGTAGACTGTAGCTGAAGTGGCCTTTACGTCGAGAGACCATATGCGGCGAGATGCGTCGACCACAATGACTCGACTGCTGGAGGCCACTGCGTCGAGACATCGTTTCTAGTCAAATCCATCAGCGGTCTTATCAACTCGGGGAAGGACGTATTTTGATCCAACGGCTACTGCAGGAGTCAGGAAATCAGGCAGCAGATGAGAGGGATCAGCCGCATTTTCTAAGGTTGTTATCATGAAAACTCACCTACCCGCCCGTAAATCGAGGGACGGGAGATGGCTTCTTCCTTGGGAACGGCGAAGGGATAATCACATTTCATTACTCCAAGAGGGTTTGTAATCGAAAAAGATATTAGTGCATTCACAAGTGGATTAGGCAAAGAGTTCTTACCAAACTACTATAAATCTGTCTCATTTACATTATTCCTCAGCTTTAATCTTTAGTTAAACCGCGAGTGTTAACGAGAGTGTCTTTAAAGAGTAAGTAACGCATTATCAAAAAAACACCGTCAACAATTTCTAACAACAGGAAAGATTCATAAGTTAGATATTAGAAGCGATAATAATACATACACAGTGACTTGTATAATTGTATTTCTCTGAACAAAACCTCCTGCGAGTGACTTGTAGAATGTTCATACGATAACAACTCTGACACTTATCTAACTATTATTTATTTAGTTTTTTTGAATCTTTAGTTTATACATGAATAATTGGTTGGAAACGGTCAGCACCAAGAGCATTTACATCTCTGGGATAAAGGCTTGGCTCTGGTTTTCAATTTTGTCACTTTCACCCCTAAAAAGGGAAGGACCAGCAAAAACACCACAGTTCATGACCATCAATACACTCATTCATGGCGGTTTCATCAACCACGTCTCATCAAAAACTGACCCCCTTCCTTATCTGATATCATCAATTAATCACCTCCTCACGTGTATCCTCCTAAAAAACCACCATTTCTTCTGATCATATTCATCACTAGCTAGGACTGTTCTTTTTTTTTTTTAATTTTGTTTTGTTTTTAGCAAAAATGGCGGGTGAGAGTTCAGGCAAGAGTAGTACTAGAAACTCCAACAACACCCAGCTCTTGGAAGAGCTGGAAGCACTAAGCCAATCCCTCTACCAATCCCACACCGCAGCCACCGCCGCTCGCCGAACCGCCTCCCTCGCTCTTCCCCGAACCTCGGTTCCTTCCCTCGTCTCTACCGACGTCGTCGCGGATGCTTCGCGGTCGAGCAGCAGGCCTCGCCGCCGCATGTCGCTGTCCCCGTGGCGGTCTCGCCCCAAGCTCGATGACAACGGCGAAGCGGACGGGACTAATGGGGCAACACAGGCGAAGAAGGCGGAGGAGAAAGTGGCGGTGGCGAGATCGAAATCGAGTGTCTCGGAGGAGAAAAAGGGAGGGATTTGGAATTGGAAGCCGATTCGGGCGCTTTCGCATATCGGGATGCAGAAGCTGAGCTGTTTGTTTTCTGTTGAGGTGGTGACAGCCCAGAACCTTCCTTCCTCAATGAACGGCTTAAGGCTGTCCGTTTGCGTGCGGAAGAAGGAAACGAAAGACGGCGCGGTTCAGACGATGCCTTCAAGAGTCTCACAAGGGGCTGCTGATTTTGAGGAGACGCTTTTCATTAGATGTCATGTTTATTGCAGCCATGTAAATGGAAAACACAGTAATTCACAGCAGCTCAAGCTGGAGCCTCGTCCATTTTTGATTTACTTGGTCGCCGTCGACGCCGAGGAGCTCGATTTCGGGAAGAATTCCGTTGATTTGAGCCGGTTCATTGACGAGTCCATAGAGAGAAATCGCGATGGCGAACGAGTTCGGAACTGGGACGTGAGTTTCGGACTCTCTGGGAAGGCGAAAGGAGGAGAAATGGTACTTAAATTGGGGTTCCAGATAATGGAAAAAGATGGCGGGATTGGGATATACAATACTAATAATCAGTCGAAGAAGAATTTGTCGTCGCCGTCTTTTGGGAGGAAGCAATCGAAGAGCTCGTTTAGCGTGCCGAGCCCGAAGCTTTCGAGCAGGAAAGAAGCTTGGACTCCTTCGCAAACGGGGATCACTTCTGCTGATCATGATCATGATCTTCGCGGGATTGATGAGTTGAATCTCGACGAACCGGAGAAGCCGGAGAAGAAAGAACCGGAACCGAAACTAGGAGAAGATGCCGAGTTTCCAGACTTTGAAGTTGTTGACAAAGGAGTGGAGTTCCAAGAGAGAGAGAACAATGACGATGGAGAAGAAGAGGAGGAAGAGAAGGAATCGGTTAAGTCCATTGTGAAGGAAATTGTGCACGATCCAGTCCACGCGGCGAGATTAACAGAGCTCGATTCGATTGCGCAGCAGATAAAGGCCTTGGAATCCATGATGGGAGACGAGAAAGTACTCGTCGGAGGATTAGTCGACGAGACGGAAACTGATTCGCAGAGGCTAGACGCTGACGAGGAAACGGTGACGAAGGAGTTTCTGCAAATGCTTGAAGACGAAGAGATGATCGACGAGTATAAGCAAAATCTAGGCCGCGGAAATGAGAGGCGTGATCTTCTTCACAATATTCCTGCTCTGAATTTGGAAGAAACAAATGAAGAGCAATATGCAAATCGGGATGATCACTCGAAAACTTACCTACCCGATCTTGGGAAGAACTTAGGTTGCGTTGTTCATACCAGAGATGGAGGCTATTTGGCCGCCATGAATCCTCTAGACACCGAGACGTCCAGAAAGGAGACGCCAAAATTGGCAATGCAAATCTCAAGGCCTTACGTTTTGCCGCAGAGTTATAAGTCCTTGACCGGCTTCGAGCTTTTCCAAACAATGGCGTCAAGTGGCGTAGATGAGGTCAATTCAGTGATCAATCGAACTCTATTGTCAATGGATGACTTGATGGGAAAAACCGCGGAGCAAGTGGCGTTCGAAGGGATAGCGTCGGCGATAATCCATGGAAGGAACAAGTCAGAGGTCGCTAGCTCGAGCGCAGCAAAAGCCATTGGTGCTGCAAAAGCAATGGCAGCCGCAATGAGCTCAGGGAGAAAGGAGAGGGTATCAACAGGGATTTGGAACTTGAGCGAGAAGCCATCGACAGTGGAGGAGATTCTCACGTTCTCGATGCAGAAGATCGAGGCCATGGCCGTCGAAGCCCTCAAAATTCAAGCTGATTTAGCTGAAGAAGAAGCCCCGTTCGAAGTTTCTCCGTTGAATAATACTAATCCGTTGGCCCTTTCTGTTCCATTGGAGGACTGGATGGCAAAAAACAATACTAGTACTAATAATTTCGTGATTCTAGCAGTTGGGATTCAATTGAGGGATCCGTTGAGGCGGTACGAGGCTGTGGGAGGTCCCGTGATTGCGATTATTTATGCGGATTCTTGTGACGAATTAGGTGGTGAGGAAGATGAGAAGAGGTTCAAAGTGAAGAGTCTACATGTTGGGGGAGTGAAAGTTGGGAAGAGGAATGTGAGGGACAACGAGAGGCAGAGACTAACGGCCATGCAGTGGCTTGTGGCTCACGGATTGGCGGGGAAAGCCGCGAAGAAGGCAAAACATGTTGTGTCGTCAAAAGGGCAAGATCTCTTGTGGAGCATTTCTTCAAGAGTGATGGCTGATATGTGGCTCAAGTCCATGAGAAACCCAGATGTCAAGTTTACCAAGTGAAAAGAGAAATATGTTATTATTTGGCTACTGTATGTTTCTGCCAATTTAAAAAATTGTAGAGTTTTTTTTTTTTTGCTTCATTTTTTGTTATTTCTTATGGGCAAATTATTTGTTATTGTGATACAAAACAGAAAGAGTGAAGGCATTTGTAAGCGTATTGGTTGGGATTATTAGGTTTTGTGTGAATAAGAAGTCTCCGAATTGTATGAAGATTGTGTATCAACAAATAAATAACAAGATTTGATGGGTGATTTTGCTATTATATGTTTGTCTTTGAGTTGTGCATATGTTGAAATTCAACAGTTCAACCAGCGAGCAAACTAGTTTGTAGAGCACGACACAAAGAAGAAGAATGGTTACGGGGAAAAAAAAAAAAAATCAAATGCATCCTAAATTAGGAACCAAAAATTAGTTTTCATTCCTCATAATATTTGCAGTTCTTCATGGGTATGTCTTCCGTCCGTGCAATTGTAGCCGTCCAGGTCAAAGTTAATGGATGTGATTTACTTCTAGGTAGAATTACACCTATTGGCAAGTGGCAACCAACGTTAGTAGTTTGTTAATGGTTCCTTAGGTGTTATGAGACCCTCTTTGCATAAAGGAGCTGCAATTGGACAATGAAGTTAATTCGTTATATGAATTCATTCTTTGCATTACAATATAGTTTTTGATACCTAACCTTTGTTGAAATATTCACACTGTAAAGTTTCTTATTTCTTTGTTCCATTCATTATTTTCATTCGATATATATATGGATGTTTTGATGGTTGGAATTATTTTCTTGAAGCCAAAAGTTTTTTTTTTAATTTTTTTTTTTATAAATATTATCAAAAGTAGACTGCGCTAAATGTATGTAACTGATTGAGGATTGAGGATTAAGATGGAGAAAGTTGACTATGTTTAGATGGTTCTGTTATGTTAGCTTCAATTCGATTGCAACGACAATTCCTCGCAGTTCCAAACTCAGTGCATTATTCGGATTCATAATCTCATCATCTAGCAAAACATTGCTTGCATTCAAATTCTTATCAATGATTTTTTATATGTACCACTGTTCGAACTTCCAAGACTAACAAATGGAGCGGATAAGGCTGCTCATTATAAGATTTGGTATCATGTACTTTAGAAGCTGAGGAAGACTTCAACCTGTGAGATTCAGAGCTTGTTGAACTCGTCGAAAGGGCAGCGAATGTGTTCTGCCGGAGCTTTTGGGGATTAACGAGAGCCGAAATGACGAGCACAATCTTGCATTAGGAAGCAAATGCCATAGTTCCATATTGACTTGTTAATGTGCTTCGGAAAACAAATGCTGTAATTCTGGGACGACAATAAAGAAGCAACAAACGACAACAATGCACAATGACATGGGCAAGAAACAAGCAACCGGAAATAAACACGACAACAAAAATGAAAGAAGAACGCAGTAGTTAAACACAATATGAAAAGAGTAACGCTTCGACATCAACTCAAATCTCAACTCTTGTGTACTAACTAATATGGCATATGAATGAAAAACTATGACTCAGGGATTTTAGTATGATTTAACGTGTACATGAATGGAAAATGAATGGTTATGCTTTACACCTGCCAATAATTTATATGCATTGAATTAGACATGTTATTATTGGAATTTCTTGCACTATAAGAAGAAAATAATCCCTCCAGAAAAAAAGGAAGAAATTAATTAAAAAAACAGAGAAAAAAATAATTGATATCCAAGAATCAGAGTAGAAGACAGGTTTCTGCTAATTGGATGAGCAAATTCTTTATCAGATATTTCTTCCCGAAAAACAGTAAGAACTTTCTTTGATCTTATCACATCTTCTCAGATCCCTGTACAAATTTACATAGTGAAGCATTTGTTTATCATCTAAACAACAAATTCAACGATTCTATTGAGTATCACTGTAAAACGAGGAAAATTGTAGTAGTTATTGCAGTGGGTACAACAAAAACTTGTTGCGTGAAAACTCGTAAGTATACGAATCGCACAAGTAATAAAGTGTACAAGAGTACGGATATCAATCCAATGAGGATTGTGTTTAGCTTTCGTTAAATACCAATATTGATTAGCTTCTAGGATTGTTTTTATATATTTTTATAACTAAAAGAAAATAAAAATGCAAGCAATTACAAATAATCGAGCTAGGACCTCCTAATTTTCCCTTGATTGTGAAATGCTAAAGCTGTGCTAAAGAAATGCTACAGCATTCTGTACTAGTTAACCAAACTCAAATTTGTGCATAAAGTTATTCCGAATTAATTATGACTATAATTCCTCAAACCAATTTCATCATATTCCTATGTGAATCTAGTTCATGGAATTCCAATTTCAAGTTCGGGTTTATTAAGTTATACAAGGTAAACGATATATTCCTATACCTTTTACAAATTGATATATTCCTATATTGAACATGCATCATCCATGTAAAGTCCAACATAAATTAATTTTTCCAAATCAATCTAAGTCTAGTTCTACCTTTGATTTCCATCAAAAATAAAAATTAAGCAAGTAATTACACATGAGTGAACAAGCACAAGAATACCATAAACAATCCAAAAGCAAAAATTAAAACATCACAATCTTAGTTCCACTAGGAGCCTAGCTCACAAAATTAACTAAGTAACATCAAAGGTTTTATCATTTATAAATTACAAAAATAAGAGATAAGAAAAAGAATGAAAAACCCATTTTAAGAGTTGTCACAAGCTCCAAAATCTCTTCTTAAAATCTTCATCTTCCTCTTTCTTAAAGCTCCAAAATGCCCTCTTAATGATGACCTAAATTTAAAACTAAAAATAAAATCCTACAACTCTAAAAATAAATTTTCTTTTTCTTTTTCTTCATTTCTCTTTTCCCCTCTTGTTCTCTGTGGCTGCTCGTATGAGGGCTGGAAAGAAGGGAGCAAGATGGCTTCCCTCTGTTCCAGCGGCTGCCAAAAAGAATGGGATATATTAATCCCTCCCGTGTAATCTCAGCACTCATCAAAACACAATGTCGTATGCTCAACAATTTCTCCTCCAATAGTTTTGGGCTTCCCTGGGCTGAATGGGCCTTTTACTTGTTGGCTACCACCTGGCAGATTACCAGGCTTTTACCCATCCGTGGAGGCTGATTTGGGGTCCCCTGATTGTGGGCTTCTGGGCTGGATTCGTATGGGCTTCTGGGCTGAATTTGTGTGGGCTTTTGGGCTGGATTGCAGTCGCGCGCAAGAATTCCATTCTGAGGCTAATTCAATCTTCGAATTTTACTTATTTTTTTCTTGCGTTTCTTTCCCAATTTGGATTTCAATTTGCACTTAAGCCCACCTATCACCAAAATTAAATTACATAATGAGGAAAATAATTATTTTGAAAGGAAACTAAATAAAAATAAAAAATAAAAAAAAAATACCTAAAACAAACTAAAAATAAAATTAATTCCAAATAAAATAAAACGAAATAAAAATAAGGTAAAAATATAAAAAACTAAATAAATTCTCAAGAACAAACATATTTTTTAATCTACAAAAGAGGCTAAATAACTCCATTTCATGGAGTTATCAGTACACATGGCCTATTCCATGACGATGAAGAGTCAGTATATGTTAGAGCTCTTTCAGTGTAAAATCTAGGTTGTTTAAGTTTGGGGCAGTGAAGCTAAACAAGCAGATCTTGATGTTAAAATCCTCTATTCTTCCCACTCACTATCTCTGAAACCATGACATTAGAGCCAAAGACATCGAATTTCACCGAATAATGCCCGTTAATTGCATACTATACTTTGGAGACATATAGCCACTACATACGACCAAAACAGATTTATATCAACTTGAGAAAAGAGGCTACTTGATCTGACTGAAAAAAGTTACGAATTGCAGAATTATTTTATTGTACTTACTATGTCCCAACTACTTTATTTGCATTTACTTCAGTCTGCTCATCTCCAAAATTCTTGCCAAGAAAAAGTTTGATATTTTAGGATTCATCTCACCATAAAGAGATATTACTGACTTTAAATCTCTATGAATAATCCTCAACCCCAAATCTCGATATTGAACTGCTTCTGCCAGTCTAGTGTAGTGCCCTTTGTTTGATCTCTGCTATTTTTCATGAAGTTAAACCTCATTGTACAAAACTAAGCACATCAATTCGAAAAACTCTGGATTTCAAGGGTGGCTTACTGAATATATACGAGTCCAAGATTTTGTTAGACATGTACTCATAGATCAACAACCTATCTTCTTTATGAATGCAGCATCCTAAAAGTTTGACAAGATTTCGATGCTGCAGTTTCGCAATCAAGATAACTCATTCTTGAATTCCATGAGGCCTTATCCTGATTCTTCTGATATCCTTTTTACTGCTACTCTTGTCCGCTTGGGAGAACACTCTACAGCCAGAAAAAAGATGCAAAATGCATGAAAGGAGAGATTGCAGACTTGCAGTGCATTAAGCTAAATCATTTAAAGCAAGCAAATTTGGAATCTACTTCAAGGTATCTTGTAAACAGGACCAAACCACTCTCTCCAGTTTTATTTACTGAGTTTCGAAAATGGTTTTTAAATCAAAAGAAGGTAGCTCTACGTCTTATTCCTCCAAAAGGCTAGAATTGTGATCTTCAATTGGATTGCTTGTTGCACTGCTGTCAAAAGAATGAAAATAAACTGAATATGACCGTGCAAATTCCAAGTTAAATATGTAAAGTTAGTAATTAAACATAATACCATAGAAATTCTTACACTAACAAAAAATGTGATCTGTCTGTCTCCATCCAAGATAAAAGTTTATAAACAAGAAGCGCAATAGTAGCGCGTCTGACTCCAGATTCGAAAATATATACATATTTTTCATGATACAATTATATATGTTATATTGTATTATTATAAATATATAATTATATAGATAACTGTACTAGTGGGAGTGGACCATCGGTTGCATGTTCAATTAAATGATTTTTTAGGCTTTTGAAAAAAACAAAAAAAGACTTTTTAGGCATAAGTTGAACCATATAGAACAACTTCGCTTTAAACGTACGATCTTGGGTATGAAACGACAATAAAGGGTAGAAAGACGTGTACTCAAATGAAGAGGACGACAAACCGAATTACATCAGGCAGAGAATCGACATCGAGCTAAGAAACGGCAAAAAAAAGTTAGAGAAAAAGAAATAAATAAAAACGAAAGGACAAGGATTGAACAAACGACGATCAAAGGAAAAACAATGACTAACCTGAAACGACATTAAACAGATAAACTACACAGATGACATGAACAGACGACAAGAATGGAAAAAAACAACAATCAAATGTAAAACAACCATAAAGGGGTAGAACAATAAAAAGAGAGCACAAAGTTCTCAAACAGCGGGTGAGATGCCAAGAATAAATACGACAAGGGACAAAAAACAGAAGAACGACAAGAAATAAACAAGCTACAAGAGTGTAAAACGACAAAAAAAATGACATGAAACGAATAGACGTCTACAACGTATAAAATGACAGTAAAGTAACAAATCGGCACTAAGCGAGTAAAAGTAAAAAAGAAACAACAATCACACCACTAGAAAAAGAAACGACGAAAAGAACAAGAAAGAACGAAAAAAAAAAGAAACGACAATATAGATAAAAACTGAGGAAGCGACACTAATACGTAGGAGGGGCCGCGACGATGATGGTATTTGAACAAGAAACGACTAGGAATGGACTTGAGATGAATTAAAATTAATAGATTAATAATTTATATAAGTTAATAAATAAGTTAAATTATTATTTTTATTTATAATTTGTCTGGTTATGAACCATAACTTGACAAGTTATTATCCATAATTCACGATTTTTTTCCATAATTTATCTGACTACGAACTATAACTTGACAAGTTATGACTTATTAATTTCTATAACTAAAAATTGACCCATATACTTTCTTAAACCTTTTATATTGTCCTATTTTATACTATTTTTGAAGTATTAATTTAGCTTGAGGCTGCCCTTCTAAAGCAAAGCCCAAAGTAGTTAGTATATGATTTGTTATGATTTTATATGGACCTATTATTTATGTTATTTTAAATAATTTAGTGTCAGTAGTATGACTTTTTATTTTTTCTTTATTAATTAAATGGTAACTGTTTAATTTGAGTGGAGTGACATATAATACCTTTTACTATCTTGAATGGTATTTTTATTTTTTTCCCTAAAAATTTCAAGAAATAGGCAGCTTACTTCATTTGTTTAGCCCACTCCTTTTTAATTATTTGACTATTACAACAAGGAAAAAAAAAAAACAAAATACGTCTAGAGCACAAAACTCAGAAAAAATGGTTTGAACACAGCCATAGTTCGGACACAATACTAGAATTAAAAACAAAATAAATAAATTATATATGCTATAAATCGTTGAAAGTCCATCCCATGCTTTGTGACGACTCTGTTGGGTTGGCCGTCACTGTAACTAATTTTAACATATAATTTCTGAAACTTCCAAAATTTGAGTGACTTTTTTTTTTAAATCCTACCTAGAATGCTGCAACATTTTTTTAAAATGTCGTATGAATGCTGTAGCATTTTATTTTTAAAATCCTATATAGAATGCTGTAGTATTTTCTTTAAAATGCTGTATAGAATGATGTAGCATTCTGAGCATAAGTATCTTTCTCTTAAAGAACTATATCATTTTTTTTAAACTTACTGTAACGACATAAATTATGGTTTCTACTTTTTGAACATAGCAAAGTGTTTATACTTTAAAAACAATTCCTTTTCTAAAGCATGAATTTACACATAGTTATATTTTTGCTTCTCAAAATTCTGCTAGCTTTCACAAACTTAACAATCATACTGCCAACTTTCAAAACACTAGTTCATAAACATATTCAACAAAATCTTTTTTAAAACCTTAAACTGTTGCGGAAATAACTGCGTGCAGTATCCATTCCCCAACCTCCACTCCGCTCGTCCGCTGCCTCGCCATCAGTCCATCAAACCTTATGTGCGGGTTTCTTACCTACAGTATAAGTACTTTGAAATGAGCTTTCGCTTAGCAAGTAGGTACTATTACTCACAAAATAACTGAAAGTTCACATGAAAGATATGCATGAACTGCTTATGTTGATTTATGATGTCTTATTAAAGTTTTATTGTCCGTGTTTTACTATTTGAACTTATCTTACTTACTGATGGGCCCGAGTGCTCATACCACTTGCGCACAATCATCGGGACGTGAGGGTTTGTAAGGTCCCCAACGACACCGTGATTATAAACTGAACTAAATGGTTCCCTCTCAGAGGACTTTATTTTTTTTTTCTTCTCCCTTGCGGAGCCTGAGTTACCTCCCTCTCAGAGGCTAGTACGACACTCAATTGAAATTATTCTTATAAGTTCCTCTTGACTTATTAAGGTGTATGCAATATGACATAGCAAAGCATACTATAACATGGAATATACTCAAACACATATAATTCATGTGCACTGTTTAAGTGTATGCAGTATAACATAGCATAGCATACATAACATTAAATGTACTCAAACACATATAATTCATGTGTACTGTCCATTTTAAAATCAATTTATACTGTAGGTGAGATTCTTACTTACCTGTTTTAGGAAGTGGAATCCTCTATTCGCCAAAGAGTCTGTTCTCTTTCTTTCTTGCTTCTGAGAATGAACACCCATTAATAGTGTGAGATTAACTATCACTTGTTATTATAGTTTAGCAAGCTTGAAAGAAAGTCTAACTTCTCTATTTATTGCTTGCTTTCTCTTTTCCTATCTTAAGGATTGTAAAACAATGTTTCTAATTTAAAGATTAGGTTTATTGAATCTTGATTACCTTACTTTTTATTAGCAAAGTCTGAAATTGACATACTTTCTTGAGATTATACTTTGAGTTCTTCAACGAACTCCTCTGTTCAACACCAAAATTATTTTAACAATTATGTAGTGTTTTTTTTTTCCCTAAGAAAATAGTTTAAAGTTTCTATTTAGAACTAAAACTAAGTTTAGCCTCAACTTCTAAAACTAAAACTAGGTTGAATTTTGGCGGAGTTTCGCCTTACTTTTCTGTGTTTCCCGAGCTATCCTTAGCTCATTTTATCCGTTACTTCATCTTCTAACATAACTAACAATCTTTCTCATAAAATTTAATCAACTTAGGAACCATTCTCTAGGGTTCCATCAAATTTCTCACCAGGATTTCATATTTAAAAGTTGCTAGAAACATAATCTAACAACCTAAATTTCATCATTTAAACACTAAGCTTTCAATTCCTTCATCAATTGAAACTCAATCATCAACTTAGCAAACTTTCTCCATAATCTCTACCACATCCAAACCATTCGGCCAAGGTAAGAAAAAGAAGAGAAAAACTAAAATCTCACCTTAGAAGCATGAAGAACAAACTCCAGAATCACAAATCCTTGGTAATTCGATCGATTCCTGCTTAAAACTTGCTTTTCTTTACTTTTGGTATTTTTTTTTCTTCTTCTCTCTCTTGGATGAACACCCATGGTTCTTGACATGAAAAATGAACATTTGGGAATATTTTTATCTCTTAAAAACCGGACATAATTAAGTGGAAGGAGTAAAATACAATTTTGGCACTTTTGAGGGACCTTTTTGTAAAATTTCACCACAAATATATTTTCTTGACTTCTTGTACAAGCTTGGCCGGCCACCTCACTAAGCAAGTGGCATGATCTCAGCCCTTGATTTAAAAAGTTACTTTAAATCTCAACCATTGATCATTTAATAATTATCCTATTTTGGTTCAGCTTAATTTCCTGTCGAGTGCGCAATTTAATGCGTTTTTCAAACAGTTGGTCAACTCAGTCAACTTTGACCATTCTTGACTAAATTTTTGAGAGTGACGTTTGGGTCGACTCTTCGTCAACAGTCAACTTAAATCAGTCGAAACCCTAAGAGGATGTTTGGTACCTACATTCGTTCCCTTATTCGAATCATGGTTCGTGGTTCGCTACAATATTTTCTCTCATAAAAAATACACGTAAATTGAAAATAGTTCTAATCACATGATTCTAATCCATGAACCAAACGTAATGTACTTTTCTCAGTTCGACCTTCCGGACCCATCTTTCGTCCATTTTTGGTTCTGATCATTTTTAAAACCTTAAAATTGATTTTTTTTTTCAATTCTTAACCTTAAGATTCATGTGTTTGCCCACTTGTGGGTTTAACACAGTATTCTGCATATCCTTCCTTATTGCAGTCTAAAAGTCGGTAACGGTATCTTACATAACTTAAATTTCTAATTGTTTACTTGATCTCATCTTGCTTACATAAGCAAGGTTTAGTGAACACTTGGTAATCACCCCTTAATGTTCTATTCTTATAGCTATTCTTATTACTTCATACTGACTTTTGAGAATTTACTTAGTTGACAAGAAATTTCAGTTTCCGACTTTGTCAACTTTTGAACTCATATTGCATCTGAATTTCTTTACTGAAACACCACCCTTTTAATTTCCTCTTATATGTTTGGAATTTAAGGGTTTTCTCTTTAAATGTTAGAGCGTTTCTCTATACGTTGCTAATATTATACTATACTAAGAGATTCCTAAGAGGAGGAGTCTCCAATTGTATATGCACTGAGAATTCTTCCGCCTTAATTGCGGTAAGAATTTATCAATTGAATTCACTGGTTCTTTAAAATATGAACTAATCATAAAACTTGCTACAGAATTTAGGAATATTGATATTAATTTCATAAATCATTTAGTCACAAAATATGACAATATATTACTAAAAAAAGTCATTGACTTAAATAAATAAATTTACATTATTTAATTTTAAGATTTTCTCGGTGTTACATCGTCATCCTTCCATGGCTTTACCCCCGCCGAATTCTCTAAAGTTCCCTCAATTTCACATCATATACTAAGTTTAATATTATTTAAAATATAAGTAAAAGGTTGAATACAAAACAAGACACCAAAAAAAAAAAAAAAAAGAGCGAGGGAAATTTGACACGTTTAAGTACATTCTACCATGTTACACAATATAAACCTAAATATCCTCACAGACACTAGCGAGGGTAGAGTTCTGTGATTGAAGCTTCATTATTAGATGCTTCAGAAGCCAATGACAAATCGGATGCAATATTGCTATGTATAAAGAAAGCTGGTTCTGAAGGCATTGGAAGACACAGAGAGTTACTGTTGAGCATAAGAACAACTGTATTCATGGTTGGTCTTTGAGTCACATTATCTTGGACACACAACAGTGCGATGTGGATGTATCTCATTATTTCAGATCCTGAATTAATCCTCAATAATGGATCTATGATATTTGCGGCTGTGTTGTCCCTCCAGTTCCTCCAAGCCTGCAACAATGTTAGATATAAAATTCTTTTGATTCAATTGAACATACATTAAAAGTCTTGCATTTTACAATGAACTATTATCTAACTTGTACTCACATAGCTTAAAAGGTCTTCTACATGTTCTCCATGACTGAAGGAATTATTTTTCTGTCCGCTCACTATTTCCAAGAGTAACACACCAAAACTAAATACATCAGTCTTGACCGAAAATTGTCCACGCATAGCGTATTCTGGAGCCATGTATCCACTACAATAATGAACGCTTGACTAATTAATATTTGAGAAAATTACGTAGCCTTTCACTAAAATCAAACATCTTTACATTTATGCCATTTTTGTCGACTTAAAGAGAATATTCTGGTAGAATATCATAAATATTTTGTTTGAATGCTCTTTGAAGATGGAGGCGGAGATGTCTGACTATCTTTGTTGGGAAGAAAAAAATAATATGATAGGATATTAAAATTACCTGGCAGCATATCTCCTTTTTAGTTTGAGTGGCATAAATGTCAAGTTTATACCATTGGGTGATAAAAATGTAAAGATAATATCTTTTGAGTGAAATTTATGTATTTCTTCAATATTTCGGTGAACTTTAAGACTAGAAACTAAGAGCATCTATTATATGGTTATATATGTTGTGTTGCTTATTTTTTATCTGAAAATCTTTAGCATTTGGGTGTGGACTACAATATCATACTAAATGATCTGAATGAAAGCTTACAACATCATTAGTATAAACTAAGGCTAGCCAAGGTGGACATGTCCTTACTAGGTTCCCACAATTCTACTTGTGTTGCCTTGAGTTTGATCAACGACAAACAACCTTGCCATTCCAAAATCCGAAATCTTAGGGTTCATTTCTTCATCTAACAAAATGTTACTAGCTTTAAGATCTCGGTGGATAATTCTCAAACGAGAATCTTCATGAAGATAGAGGAGCCCTCGACCAATGCCTCCTATAATTTTATAGCGGCTCTCCCAGTCTAAGTTCGCACGCTTCCTTGGATCTACATAATCATATAAGTATAATTCAGTTAACATTTTAGAGATGTATATGCGTTAGGTAGTACTTTTCAAGGCATGTCTCATAATTGAAGCAATATTTTCTATGATTCCCTATAATAACAAAAGCAAAGAAAGACAACCATACCATATATAAAGTGATCAAGGCTTGCGTTTGGAACAAACTCATATATAAGAAGCCTTTCATTTCCTTCCAAGCAGAAACCAAGGAGCCTTACTAGATTTCGGTGTTGAAGCTTAGCAACTAGTATTACCTCATTCTTGAATTCCAGATCTCCTTGGCCTGAATCCCTAGACAACCGTTTTACAGCTATGTCTTGGATATCAAATAGCCTTCCCTGAAATTCATACGAACATTGCACATAATTGATTTTGAATTATAGTATTTGCGATCCATTCAAACAAACAACTTTATTGTTACCCTGTATACAGAACCAAATCCACCCTGTCCAAGCTTGTTTGCCTCCGAAAAATTATCAGTCGCAACTCTGATTGTCTCAAAACTGTATTGCAATGATTCCACACTTTCGATATCCTCAACAGGTTCATTCAAGGGGCGAGCTTCAAGAACAAATATCAATCGAGTTACACCTTGACAAGATTCTTCTTGGTTAATGCTACTAAAATATGCGGTAATTTTGATAACAACATGCCATATATTTGGTATACTATCATAAAATTAAAGCAAAGGAAGATATCTTAACTTACTTTCTTCCTTTCGCTTTGCCCTCCGTCTTTTTAAAAATGCACAGATGGAGATAATTAGTACCAGAGCTACAACAGGAATAGAAATATTCTTTTTAGACGTGTTACTCTCTTTTCCTGCGAAATCCAAAAACTCTGCTGTAATCAAACCACTTTATAGGAGCTAAAATGATTTCTAAAATATCAACAACAAATCATATACGTTATGAATAATCAAAAGAAATTGATCCCAAATTAAGTGTGCATACCTCCTGTAGTTGTGAAAAAGTTAGTCGACGGTGGTGGTGGTGGAGATGAAGCAAGTGATGCATCATCTGTTAGGTTATAAAAGAGCCTAATCTCATACCTAAAATTACAATTGGTGCCAATGACTCTCCCCCCTATCTTCCTATCGCAACATGCTGGAATATCCGCAAATGCATCATCCAAGCAATTGTTGCAGTCTTGGTGTGACAAGTCAGGCGTGCACTGAACGAGCGCATATAAGGTTTGAAAATCTGGAGCGCTTGCGTTCCCTGTCGCAAACTTTCGAAGAGAACTGCCGGAGGTAGCTTGGTTTTTCAGACCATCCAATAAGGTCCGGAGGTCTTGGAAAAATTCGTCCACATTGGATGACACATTTTGCCTGTTCCACAAAAAGACCTTTTGATATGTCTCCATTACGCCAAACAAGGAGCGGTTTGAGTAGCGGAGCATGCAGTAGTCATGCCATCCGACCGCCTCCTTCTGATTGGGGCAAACCCGTGGGAGAAGCTGTGAAGCGTTGTTGAGGCAACCGCTACAAACATCGGGATTAGCGTCTCCTCTGCACAGCCCGATTGCGTAAACTTGGTCGGAGGAATTGCCGTATGAGAGACTGTAAAAGCCGGAGCCATTGCCATCTTGGGAGGGAAAGCTGGTTGACAGGAGGTGGTTTAGGTTGGCCTCATAGGTACTATTACTAGTGTAATTGCCTCTGTCGTTTTCACAAAAGTGATATAGGAAGGTTGGCTGAGCATTGGCTTGGGTGATACGGAGAATGAAGATTTGAAAAAGTATGAAAAGTATTATTACTTCTGAAGAAGAAAGTAGCCTTGCCATTGGTTGCTGATATGAAGGGAAAGATGTATTACTTATTGGCTTCTATTGGGATTTAAGTTCTTTTTAAAGGGTAACCAACTTGGAAATATGTTAGCAGAAACAATATTAATTAAATTGGTTTATTCATATTTCTTATTGCCTGGAAATTTACTCTTTCTTAAAAGCAAATCAAACAATAGGAACATGTGCATGTGATGGAAATATATAATATTGATTTGTTTATTCTTTTGTTACACTACCTTGATTCTTTTCCCATTCTGAACTCCCCGGAACGATACAATTGTACATGCTTTGAGCAATGGAGACATATTGACAAAAAAATATTGATTGTGAAGGGACTGTTGAATCTTTGAAATTCTGTAAACGGTAGATTAGAACATGATTAGAAAATCTCCATTCACTTCACCGATTCGAGTTTAGAATTTGAGTTTTGCTACAGTAAAAAGTTCTCAGAAACAGTCACATCTAACTTTTTTTCTACAGCAAAAAGCTATCACATAAAATCACATCTCAACTCGAATTACAAACTCGAATCAGCGAAGTGAACGGACCCAATTGGACAACAAACCCGTGGACCTATCTGAACGTGCCCAGCCAGCGAATAATTCCATTGACTCTCACGATCCTATGTGTAAGTCCAAGTATATTTTCCTTTTTGTATAGGATCATTGTGTGGTGGAGGTATTGACGTTGTAAGTTTCTGACTGTTAGATCTTATTGAAATTATATTAAAATGAAAAAATACGTAAACATAGACAGTTTTTAATACAAATTTAAACGACTTAAATAGAAATCTATAGATACTACAAACTTTCATTAAAGGAGCCAGAGGCCACTACAAACACAGAATAACAAAGCGAAAACAAGAAAAAGCATGAAAAATAAATCTTAGTTAGGAAACAAAGGAAAGCACAGCCGCAACATAGAGAGGCGCCCATAGGAAATCAAAGGAAAACCACCTGAAAATGTCACAAAATAGTACCTCATATTTCCGAAGAGTTTCATCAAACTAATAGTTCTCATGATTTCTTTTTTATTTAATATTATATGGGTATGGAGATTGCTGTAGGGAGACCATATAGCGAAAGTATGAACAGAGAAGATGCTAGATGCATGGTCATGGAGAAGAAGTCAAAACAAAGATTTAATTAGAAAAGATGTAAATCGGAATTGGAAAAGGAAGCTGAAACTGAAGAAAAAAATAAGAAAAAAAGTAAATTTCAATTTTGAGTCCTGAGCCCTGTAAACTTCGAAGTGACACACCATTGCATGGTTGTTAAGAAATGGACGTAATGGAGCTTGAGGTGCATGTGGTCGGTTGGTGTTTTAAAATGTTGTTGTTTATACCCTTTGCCCAAATTAGTCAGGTTTCACTAGTTACAACAGATCTACTTCTCGGATAGTAACCCAGTTGGAGAAGATGGAACTGTCCAATTTACCTGTCCAATCAACTACCCAATAGTAATTTTACCAAATTCCCCTCATTAAAAGTAGGAAAATAGTAGAAAATATACCAAAATGAAAAATTTAAGGAAGTATATAGGTCAATTTTTAGTTATAGAAATTAATAGGCCATAACTTGTCAAGTTATGGTTCATAACCAGATAAGTTATGGACAAACTTGTCAAGTTATGGTTCATAGCCATATAAATTATGGACAAAAATCGTGAATTATGGACAATAACTTGTCAAGTTATGGTTCATAACCAGACAAGTTATGGACGAAAACAGTAATTTGGCCTATTTATTAACTTATGTAAACTATTGGCCTATTAATTTTAATTCATCTCAAATCTTGACATATTTCTCTCTTTCTCCCTTAAAAGTATAAACAAAAAATCCATAACCCGATTTATCCACTCAACCCAACCTAATTTAACCCAATCTTTATTTGGTTGTTTGATTTTATTTTTGAGTTTATTGGGTGGGTTGAGTTCAATTTTTAACAACCCACCATAAACCTAAACCATGCACCCAATGAAACTTTATATGTTTTAAAATATTATATATATTAATTAGTTTTTATTATGACTTATGTATCTCAATTACCATATTTTATGTTAGTTTATGACTCATTAATAGGAAATATTGGAAATTTATTTGACCTGTGATGATTTTATTTTTTTCATATACTTCTTATTTTAGGTTAAATTATTAGTTTTTTTTTTTTTTAATATTATTCAATCTGCTTAACCCAACCCGAATTTAATTGAGTGAGTTGATCTAAAGAAGACAACAAATTGACACTCGACAAATTAAAAAATTGCAATTGCGCCAGGAATTGGAAAACATGATATTATTTTAATAATATTATAATAGTATTAAGCTCTACTCTTGAAATTAAGGATGAGAGAGCAAGAAATTTGCTTTGGTAAGAGATGGGTTATTTGGTGTGGGGCCTCAGGAAAATTACTATTTAAGACATCTATTGGACAGTTATTGAATTCAAGGACAGTTATTGAAGTTAGTCCATGAATTCAATAACTGTCAAGTCGATCGTTCAAATGTTGACGTACGTGACTAAGAACATAATCCTGTATTATATATATATATATATATATATATAAAACTTTTACAAAATGTTTGATCAGCAAAAACTTCTACACAAAATGTTCTTCCTGACGATTGTCTGTACCAGGTGAAAAAAATTGACTGGAAAAACTTCTGCAAAATGTTCTTCCTAAGTTAAGTCAAGTCGATCGTTCAAATTTTGGCGTACGTGACTAAGAACATAATCCTATAAATGTACACTGTAATATATAAATATATATATATATATATATATCTTACCATAGAGCCTTCGGAATCATCAAAAGGATGGCCAATTTTTTTAATCAAGATTATACTAATATTTATTAATGTAATAAAATTGAATATTTTATTTTTGAAATCTAAATAATTGATTTAATAAAATGTAGAGAAAATTAATAAGGTCAAGTCTATACAAATACTTATTATATTAAAATTAAAATCATTATATTAAAAAAAAGAAAAAAAAAAAGCACGGCCCCCTGCTGTCTCCGCCATTGAAACTTATCATACGTTATCTTTCATTTAATATGCACCGAACAAAACATAATCCATATGGACCGAGTCTCCGCTGTAATTTGTTGACGACTGATGGAAAAGATATGGTTAAAAAATTATTATTATTATTATTTTCATTTCTTGATTATTATACTTTGAAGATATATTCAATCTTTGAGATTATGTATACCGGCTTCCTTTTGTTGAAACAAAGTACGTAGACATATCACTTGATTTAGACGCATGCATTTCATCATAATTATGTCATCATGCCACAATTAATTCATGGAGGACCACAGTTCCAACTAGCAAGGAAAGAAACGAAAAGAAAATTGTAATCATTTGTTGTAACGTCCTTATTAAGTAAGTTAGCAGCTAAAAATTCCATAGGCCGAGAGAAATGTTAATTAAAATAAAATAATATTGTTTAATAAAGAAATAGTATGTATTTTTTAATTTATTTTCAAAAAAGAATATGTATAAAGATAATTTTTGATATGATAGAAATTACATAAAACAATTAAGTAGGGACACATTTGTAAAAAAATTATTTTAACCATTAAAAAATAAAATAGGAACACATGCGAAAAAATTACTTTCATAGGAGTAAAGTGAGAAAAATATATTTTTAAACAAACCCACAAAAATTAAAATGTCAAAAAAACTTGAATAAAAGAACATAAACTTTTTCTGAATAAAGTTAAATAAAGTTGTAACTCAAATTTTATAAAAGAACATAAACCTAAATAAAGTCATAATTCGAGTTTAAATTTTTTCTAAGTCTTGTTGCAAAAGAACAACTCTAAAATTCTAATTGGGCTTTTTGATCGGCCACTCTTCTCAGCACTCCCACAAAGAGAACCAGACCAAGAGAGGGATAAAAGAAAAGAAAAGAATGAGGAAAAAAAAGAACACACAGAGAGAGAGAAATAAATATTTAGTTTAGGACTATATTTTTAGGAGATAATTTTAGTTTTAGATTTAGGTCATTTTATTTTGTAAATACTATTGAAGATGACATTTTGTAGCTTCAAAAGCGAGGAATATGAAGATTTGGGGAAGAGATTTTGAAGTTTGTGACACCTTCATCCGTAATTTCTTTTCTATTTTTATTCTCTTTGTTTTTGTAATCTCTAAAAATGCTTGATTATTGGTGTTGTTTATTTTTATTTGTGATTATGGTTTGATTTTTCTTGTTCTAGAGTTTCAATATTGCTTGATTTGTGTTGCTTTGATTTTTCATTTATTCAAATTAATTGTGTTGTCTAAATTATGTTGGATAATTATTTTATGTGGTTTAATGTTTCTAGTTGATTGATTACTAATTAGTTGATTAGGAAGCCGTTGATTGCTATCGGAAGGTGGATTTGCGTGTTAGGCCAATTATGGAGTGACGTAATTTTAACGGGATAGGAATATACCCAGTAAGATTATGTAGCCACTAACGAAATTCGAGAACCTAATGAATCCTAATTAATTTGTAATCATAGGAATATAGTTTACTAATTGATGTAGGATATTTCTGATTGACTACCGGGAGGGGCTTTTGGAGAGTTTAGGAGATTTTGGCTTTTATTCAACTAGAAAACAGGTGAAATTGAATTCTTAGAGCATTTTATTAACTTTCTTTAGTTATTTGTTTAATTTTCTTAATTTTAGTTTTAGTTAGTTTTTTTTTTTCTTGGTAATGGATTGTTCGAATAATCTTAGAGCTAATCCAATTTTGATAATTAACCCAAATTAAGCACAATTTCCGTGGGAGCAATATTCATATTCCGGTACACTTTATTACTTGTACGATCCATGCACTTGCGGAATTATGCAATAATAGTAGTTCAAATTAAATTAACGTAGCGGAAGCTTAAGAAAAAAATAAGAAAAAAAGAGGTAAATTCGTATTGTATTATCCGTTGATTCACCTAGAATACCGGAAAACCCGTTGATTCAATTAGAATACCGGAAAATAAGACTTCTATAAATATGTTGATTTGCTTATGAATGCTAGGAAAATAGGCATTAATCACTCGTTGATTCAATAATATACCGAGATAAATAAGATAGATATGTTGAGACTCTCAAAGCATATAACAATACTAAGAAGCCTTTAAATAGGAAGTTGAAAATAAGGAAACAAACTAAAAGGAAACAATCTCAAAAACTAATTTTAGAAACTAGAAAAGAGAAACTAAGCTAATCCTAAATATTCTAAATTTGAAATTTATAATAATTTAAAAATAATACTAGAAGATATCAGGAAATAAATAAATTAAAATTCAAATGTGAAAAGAATTGGGAAGCTTTCGATTTGTAGCTTCACGTCTCCCAGCTGTCGTCCGCTGGTGATCTTCATCTTGCGCTGCATCAGTACTGTATAGAGAAATCAAGATATCAGGAAACAAATAATAATGGCATTTCTATTTTACTACTTTGAGGCCACGTGCTTCACACGTGCATGCCTATTTTGTAAATTCATTGGAGATGTAATTTTAAAAAAAAAATGGTGGGCAGTGGGTTTTTAATTGTTGCTTATGAAAGAACATCAAATTTGTTAACAATATGGAAAGTTTTTAAAATGAAAGGGATAATACTTCGGAGCATGAGCATTGGCTCATGACGTTTTTCGAGATTGAGTACAGTGTAAGTGGCTCTTTTGGGAGATGATAAGAAAGAGAAGATCGGCGAGGACTTCTTTTAGTGAACAAGATAACTCTCCTAATTCCATTGAATAGTTCATTTTTAGTGTAAAAAATGATAAAAAACTACAAATAATACATTTTTGTTTGCAGTTGGTCCAATAAGTGAAATTAGAAACTCCATAAATCGTGGATGCCAGAAGATGCAGGCATCATCAAAATGTGTGAATCCATGACCACAATATTCTCATCATCTCCATCGGTAAACTGTTCTGAGGGAACACTTTGCAATAAAGTATCTCTATTGGTGTTAGAGCCAACTTTCGTATTAGAGCTAAAACCAATAGGAATAGTTGAGGGTAAAACTTTTTACAGAAATCAAAGGATATTGGACCTAACTCAATCTAATAAAATCGGCTTGTTAGGAGAGGATTGCCCTCACCCTATTAAGTAGATCATGTCAATATTTCCAGCCAATGTGAGATTCTAATACGCTCCCTCACTCACAGCGTGGACCATGTCAAACCACTGCGAATAAGTCGATATTGGGGACCTAATATTGCAAAACTGGACCTGCTCTGATACCATTTTACAGAAATCAAAAGCTATTAGGCCTAATTTAACCTAACAAAAATGGCTTGTTAAGGAAGGATTACCCTCACCTTATTAAATGAATCATGCTAATATCTGCGGTTAATATGAGATTCTAATAAAACCATGAGTAATACCGAAAAGAGGACTTGCGCCATTATTAAGGAAAAACCAGAGTTAATATTTTTTTGAAGTAACATGAATTGTCAATATTCAAATAAACACCAACATTTTTCATATTACGAGTTATAACTTTCATCTTTTTTTTTTCCTTGCATATAATTCCCTTCGACGCCTCTTTCACGCATTAGCCCTTCCCTTATCCATTTTGATATGCTTAAAAAATAAATAAAAGAAGGCACAAAAACTCACCCTTAAAGGATATCCTGGTGCAAATCTGGCTTTGAGCATTATTGTTTGAGCAGTTTAGTCACCAAATGGCCATACGCATCTGTCCAAAGGTCAATTACA